GGGTGCTACAGAGTGTGTTGTGAGGAAGCAGAAAGAAGCCAGGCTTCATCAGGATACCTGATGGTCATCCCTCTAACTTATCTGAAAAAAGAGAGTGGTCTATGGCCTGTCATTGTGGGAATTACCCAGCCAACATCAAGACCTGTCTCAATCCTCATGTTGGGCTTGGGTACAGCCCAATCCTGACATGATAAATCTTAAGTTATAGGAGTGATTGGAGACCAGCCCTAGGAGTTTTTATTCCCATTTTCCTTCCAGCATAAGATCTATATGAGAAGGTGGGGAGGGAGGAAAATGTGGGGGAAGGAGAAAGGAGTGGGGGGTGGGTGGGAATGCCACAAGCAGGAATGTTGCCAGTCAGCGGGGGTTAGATTTTCACTTGGATCCATGTGGAAACCTGGATCCTTTATTCCATCTATTTTGGGTCTCCTTCTCTGAACACTTTCACTAAGATTGGAATTTTTCTGCCTGTAACACATTTTTAATCTAATAAGTCTAGGAGAAACCAGGTATTATATCATTAGCTGGGGCCTGTTGCTGTGTTTTCTAGGAGAAAAGGTAGCCCAGACTCCAGTTTATCCCTATAAGGGGATTATAGTGTATTAGTCACCCCCTGTAAAAGCTCAATTATTATGATTTTTAAAATGTTTCTTTAGCACTGCTTTATAAGGTGAAGAGGGGAAGTCACGATGTGTCTGTGTTTCCTGCCTCCACCTTTCACACATGCACGTATACTCTATCAAATTTTCTAGGAACCCAAATTCCTTAAAATCAAATCCAGGTTTATTGGCTCTGACGATTTAGCTTACTTTTGCTGTGCTGGCCTTGTCCTAGTTTGGGTCCCCGTGTAAGTAATGAACGTGAGATTATTGTAGCTAGGCACCCTCAGTTGGGAATCAAAGTAGAGGTTTAATAAGTGGCTTAAGGTGACTATGAATGGCTACTGGTGCCTGAGGCTTAGATTTTGCTTGTTCATGGGTGTTACTGGGCTCTCCTTCCCTGTTACTACTAGACGTGGGGCTGTCGTGTGGTATACTGTGGGTTGCATGGACTCATTGTATGTTGTGCCCATTTTTCTAACCCAACTGAAAATTCTATACACCTCACATCCAACACTGGGGTTAAAAAGGCAGAAAGAAAGGAGGGAAGAAAGAAGGCATGGAAGGAAGGAAGGCAGGATGGAAGAGAGAAAGGAAAGGAAGGAAGGAAGAAAGAGAAAGAAAGAAAGAAGGAAAGAAAGAGTGAGCTTGAAGTCCCATGCTCATATAAGAAACATGAGACCAGGGTGGTGGCTGGGACAGACATTGCATGAATTAGTTTATTTTTGGAGATACGGGGTCTCACTTATACATGGCCACCTGGACTGTGAACCTCCTATATTGTGCTTTTTCAAAATAGCTGGAAATTTGTGCCACCATTGCCCAGCTTTTTCTGTTGAGATGGAGTCTTGGTGAACTTTTTCCCCAAGCTGGCCTGGAACCACCCCTCCTTCTTTTTTTTTTTTTCTTTTATTATTCATATGTGCATACAAGGCTTGGTTCATTTCTCCCCCCTGCCCCCACCCCCTCCCTTACCACCCACTCCACCCCCTCCCTCTCCCCCCACCCTCAATACCCAGCAGAAACTATTTTGCCCTTATTCTAATTTTGTTGTAGAGAGAGTATAAGCAATAATAGGAAGGAACAAGGGTTTTCTGGTTGAGATAAGGATAGCTATACAGGGCATTGACTCACATTGATTTCCTGTGCGTGGGTGTTACCTTCTAGGTTAATTCTTTTTGATCTAACCTTTTCTCTAGTTCCTGGTCCCCTTTTCCTATTGGCCTCAGTTGCTTTAAGGTATCTGCTTTAGTTTCTCTGCGTTAAGGGCAACAAATGCTAGCTAGTTTTTTAGGTGTCTTACCTATCCTCACCCCTCCCTTGTGTGCTCTCGCTTTTATCATGTGCTCAAGTCCAATCCCCTTGTTGTGTTTGCCCTTGATCTAATGTCCACATATGAGGGAGAACATACGAGTTTTGGTCTTTTGGGCCAGGCTAACCTCACTCAGAATGATGTTCTCCAATTCCATCCATTTACCAGCGAATGATAACATTTCGTTCTTCTTCATGGCTGCATAAAATTCCATTGTGTATAGATACCACATTTTCTTAATCCATTCGTCGGTGGTGGGGCATCTTGGCTGTTTCCATAACTTGGCTATTGTGAATAGTGCCACAATAAACATGGATGTGCAGGTGCCTCTGGAGTAACAGTCTTTTGGGTATATCCCCAAGAGTGGTATTGCTGGATCAAATGGTAGATCGATGTCCAGCTTTTTAAGTAGCCTCCAAATTTTTTTCCAGAGTGGTTGTACTAGTCTACATTCCCACCAACAGTGTAAGAGGGTTCCTTTTTCCCCACATCCTCGCCAACACCTGTTGTTGGTGGTGTTGCTGATGATGGCTATTCTAACAGGCCACCCCTCCCTTCTGATCTGAGCTTCCTGAGTAGTTGGTGTTACAGGCTTGAGCCACCATTCCCAGCCTCCCCTAACCTCTTTGAGCCCAGTTAATTTCATTCCTATAAATGGACTTAATCATGCCATCTGTCCCAAGAGAGTCTTTTATAAAGAAGAAGCAAGACAAAATATATATGAGTGTTTTTGTTCTAAATGTCGTATATATATATATATATATATATAATACCACATAAATAAAAATATAAAATACATATGTGTTACACATACCCACTACTATTATTACACCCATACCAGTACTGATTGAATGTTTTGGTTACACTATCTATAGACCACTCTATTATTTGCCTCAGTATTTTTTATTGGTCATTATTAGGGCATTTTCATAGTATTTTTATTGCTTGATGAGTTCCAGATCTAGAGAAGGATGAATAAAAGTAGGCTTCAGCATCTTTCCTATGCATGGAATCAAAGTAATTATCTGTCTCAGGACTCTCTATTCCATGACTGCGTATGTTAGTGACTCTTGGTGTATTTCACAAGAGTCTCAATAGCTATACTAGAATTTGAAATATATCAGAAAAAAAAAAAGCAAAACCCTACGTACCTGAATGGTTATCAGTAAAATGTCTAAGGCTGTTGGCTCCTCAGGTGTTGATAGAGACTTCCTCTGACTTTGCAGCTTTGAGATCTGCATCCATTTCCCGTTAAAAAAGGAATAAAGCATCTCCACCTCTCTGATGGTAACAATGAGTATGTTTCCATGCCGGTCTTTAATGGGCTCATAGTAAACTCTCCCCAAGTTGTGTGTCCCAAGTAAATTCTAAAAACAAATAGATTACTACCAGTAAATGATATTGTAAAAGCAAAGCAACACAATACAAAAAAAAGGCACTGTGAATAATTATCTGATTTTTGAGAAGCTGTTTTTTCAGACTTAAATCTAGAATACATGGCATCACAGAAATGTGCCTAACAGAAGCTCAAAGAAAAAATGTCTTTGCCATGAGCCTGCAAAGATTATAGCAAAAGGCACAAAATTATATTTTTTAAGCAAATTCAATATCTGTAAATATCTCTTACCCACATAGACACACCAGCACATAAACCTCAGTTACCAGCACTTGAAGAGAATCCCAGATGTTTTAAAGAAAAATGCCTGATATTTGAAGTGTGCTACTTGTGGAGTTTTCAAGAGATCTACAGTAAGCTAGTATGAGGTAGGGTTGTTTAAAATGAAGAAGTGAATTGACAATGTAGCACATTGTACAGGTCCCTAAATGACTACACATTCCCTTCAAGATACTTCAATCGGGAAATTGGCCTGGTTTGACTTATCTGCATTTCAGGGAGTTCTATTTATTTAAAAGTTTGTTGAAATTGCTTATAATCTAGGTCAACTGAGGTAGACAATACTTTTAGAAAGATAGGAAGGGAAGGATATCACTTTAAATGTGGATGGGCCCAGGGGGTGCTACTAAATTAAACAGGAGTTTTATAAATATACAGGGTTTGAAGATTTCTAACCTAGAGCATTGGATGATTAGGATAAAATCCCATCTTGCTTTAAATATGAATGTTTTAAAAAAAATTATAAATCAACCCAGACCTCCTAGTTGTTATCTTTGTGAGCTCATATAGATGATGAGATGACCTATCGTGGGAGCAAAAGTAGAACTGGAATTTGTAAAAGTGACAAGGTTGACCAAAAATAAATAAGCCAGCCTCTAGATATTCACATTTATGAGAGCACTGGGGTGTTCTCTTCTAGGTAAGTACTGTCTTAAGCCTTTTATTCATCTTCACAAAGATCAGATACATAATGAGTAAGGAAATTCATAAATAGTTATTGACATATAAAATTCATTTGGTAGGACTTTTTTTGAATGTAGCCTAATCATTCAGATGTTTCCTTTTCAACAAGTGACTTTTTAAAATAAATGTTTTATTAGGATATATTCATTATGCTGGGCGGCGATTAATAGTGACAATTCTGATTAGATTTATATTGTACATTATTTATATTGTCCCCATCGTCTCACCTCCTTAGGCCCCTCCTCACCCCACTTAAAGCAATTGCAAGAGGTTTCTTAGTTCTGTTTCAAGTATGTATATGAAGTCCATCTACATATACTGACACCTTAATCTCCTTCCTTCACCCTCCTCCTTTCCACTAATCCGCCCCCTCACTATACCTATTTTATAGTCCTGGTTTTCATTATTAGTATCTAAGTTGATGTTCAAAGGGGTGTCTCAACATATGCCCACTGTGGGCACACTTTACTTTGGCCAATTCAACCCCTTCCATTACTCTCCTTTACTGCTTTACCTCCCACCACCGTTTTTCAATAGCTTTCACCTTCTCTGGGAAAACCTTCCTAACTCTCTATTATGGTTAGCATATGAAGTATCTCCTAGAAGGCTCCCTGAGAGGTAAGTGGGTCATGAGTAGCTCTGACCTAATCAGTGGATTAATCCATTGATAGATTCACAATTTGATGGCATTATTGGGAGGTGATAGAAACTAGATGGTGAGGCCTGATGGAGGAAGTTCAATGAGAGTGTACCTCTGTAGGGTTTATCTGGTCCCTGGCCTCTTTCTGTTGCTGTTTTTGCTTTCTGGCTACCATGAGGTAAGCAGCCTCCTCTGCCACATCCCACCATCGTGGCATTTGTCTTGCCTCAGGCTTGAGGCAATAGACCATGAATTGAAACCTCTGAAACTATGAGTAAAACAATTTAACCTCTTTTAAATTATTTCACTCAGGTATTTGTCACAGTGACAAAAAAACTGTCCAATACTCTGAGGTAGAATTTACCATCTTTGTTTTTCTTCACTACTGCTTTTTGTGTAAACTTCTTAGTTTGTGTTTGGCTTTATTGTATATAATTGACAGTGAGATCATGGTTATTTCATCTCTACATCTCTGAGTTCTTTACACCAGTGTCTGGCACACAATAAGTACTTAATTTGTTGGCTGAATTAACATATTTTCATTAAGATATTGGACCTAATGGAGCCCATTTAAAATTTTTGCAAGACAGTTTAAAGAAAAGGGAGCTACAGGGAAGGGGGATAGCAAAGAGAAATAGAGGAGGTGAATTATGAGCAAAGTACATTATGTGCATGTATGGAAATAGCACAATGAAGCCCCTCACTTCGTACAATTAATATATGATAATGAAAACCATTGGAAAAAGCAAAAACAAAAGAATTTTTTTCTAAGAAAAAATAAAGACATGGAAAATATGATTTGCTTTGGACCAAGGCTGAGGGATATACATTAATGGAGTTGGTCATTTCATTTTAACAGAGTATTATCAGTGCTCACTGTCAACTTTGGGTAGGTTTACTAATGGGCTTAATAATAATGCACTAAAAATGTTACTAAATTTTTCATTGGCATCAAATTCTGGTAGTTAATTAGCTTTGGGGGAAACCCAGCCCAATTTAAAATCAGAATATTCTCGTGAAAATAAACTGTAACCATGTTCCAAAAGGGCCCAGGGTTCTTTTGGACCTAAAGGAAAAGAATACTATCGAGGTGAGGCAAGCTGGGGCCCGAGGACTGTAGAGGTAGTGAGGAAGAAGAGCCATGTAGTGGTTAACAGGAACGCATCTAGGTCTTAAACCAGATCACATCAGAAGACTATCAATAAGCCCTAGACAGTTGGCACCATATTTAGAGACTTTAATTTTTCTTGAGGTGACAGGAGAAGTTGAAGGAAGTACAGAGGCAGGATGCAAAGTCCTAGAAAAGAAGAGTGAGATTTTGGGGAAACCTTTTTTCCCTTGGAAAAGGAAAAAAGACAGGGTATCATAAATTGTCACCTGGCTTTTACTCATTAATACCCACTTATAAAAACTGTGGAGGAGGAAAGTTTAGTGCAAAACAATCTATACTGTGAGATCATTACTGTCCTTTGGAGGTAAGTATTTCAGATTTTTTTCATTGTGAGAACAGTGTACACTCCTGCCTCTCCCCATGAAGAGGCCTCTGCTGTTTTTCTGAGTGAAAGAAAACAAGGTGGAGCTTGGTGGCTTATGCCTATAATCGTAACTACTTGGGAGGCTGAGATCAGGAGGATAGAGGTTTTAGGTTGGTTGGAGCAAATAGTTTATGAGAAATAGTCAGAGGAAAATGGACTTGAGGTGTGGCTCAAGCAGTAGAGCCCCTGCTTTGCAAGTGTGAATTCAAACCCCAGTCCCACCAAAAAAAAAAAAAAGAAAAAGCATGTGAGCAAAGAAGGTCACTTACAGGATTTCTCATGTTAATTTTTTTATCCAAATGCTAAGAGCTACTTGTCACTATTTCTGTGTAATTTTAATTTTAATTCATTAACTAATTAATGTACATTTTACCTTCAGATAAAATTTAAGGTTACTTCTAAATAGACTAAAAATGATGCAGGATAGACTTCTTTTTTAACTTTTTTACTGTAATGTAGATTGTTTAAGATTTTTGTCCACTTTTTGTAAATCAACACATAATAATATGTGCGTTGGGAAGAATGCAGTCCATGGAGTTATATAGCTCTGGATCTTAATGCATTGTTTGCTCTTCCTGTTTGTGTGACCTTGTGCACAAAAACCTTTTTAGGCTCAGTTTCATTATGTTAAATGAGCATAAATACTGCTACATTCTCATTAGGTTGTAGTGAAGATGAAACAAGACAAAGCTCATAAAGTACTTAGCTTAGTGCTTGGCACCTATTCCTTTTGGCACCACAAATGAAAGCAACTGTTCCTTTACTATTATTAACAACGAGTAAGTTGCACAGTAGTTGGTATGCACTGAGGGAGAGATTGTGATTAAGGCCCTATGTGCTATGATAAAATGTTTGGGTCACTATTGAAAGAGTCTAAGACAGGGAATGCTGTGATCAGGATTATCTAGGTTGGCTATTCTAGCACAAGAATGGATTGGAAAATGTTAAGAGTGAAAGTAGAGGATGACTTTGGAGACTTTGATGTGCTTGGAGTAATCATGCATTTAGTAGTAAGACTGGAAAGAAGAGGGGGGTAAAATATAACGTGCTAGAGGTAAATCAATGGGATTTATGTATGGTTGATGGCAATTAAGTTACATATAATATATTTTGACTTTCCTCAGAGCATCATAAAAGATTTTAGATGAGCTAAGTGACCTAAAATATTAAGTATACATAAATACACAAATTCATTTTCTTTCTTCTGAAGTTTTTTTTCTGCAGGTGACCCCTTCAAAAAAAGGTGCGTTCAATATTTTCATTCTAGACAGCAGCAGAGTTTGAGCAACAGATTCTAGAGTAAAAAGATGAAAGCAACTTTTATTATTTAAGCAAGCAAAGAGAATGATGGAGAAGGGACTGCTTAGTAGTGCTCAGGCTTTTGATGAGGGCACTTAAGGACGACCATTTATTGAGTACCGTGAGGTTTTATTACTGTGCTGGGCTGGAGAAATATCAAGGTAGTAACTATGTATGACACACATTTCTGAGATTGCTTTTTCCTTTGGTTAGATAGAGTTTCTCTCAAATGTGACTGTTAAGGTTCATTGGATTAGACTGACAAATATACTTATTTATTTAACCAGGTATTGAAAGTCTACCACATGCCAGGCATTAGGGATGTAGTGATAAATAAGACAGACATATTCCTCAAACTCTGGAACTCATAGTCCAAGTAGATCACTATTCAGATAATGATAAAAATAACTAACTTATGGGATTATGATCATTGTTCTGAATGAAGAATACAAGATATTGTGGTAGTGATTCACCTAATCAGGAGATCAAAGAATGGCTCCTTGAGGAAGTATAAAACTTAAGCTGAAACCAGAAGGATCTGTAGGAATTAGCAAGGTAAAGAGGTGGGAGAAGAGATTCTAAACAGAAAATAGCATGTGAACTAGCAAAAGAGACTGAGAAAGGCAGAACAGAAAGTTGGAATAAAATTAGGGGAGAATGGAATCATGGAAGCCAAAGAATGTGCCAGTTTGAAAAAGGAAAGTGGTACCACAGGTATCGAATGCTTCTGGGATATTGGTTGCAAAGAGGACTTAAAAATGTCTGTTGGATTCAGTGAAATCAAAATCATTGACAGGGATGAAAACAGGTTTTGTGTGGGTCTGAACTATACAATTTTGGGGCCTTCTTGGAGATAAAGAAAACAAAACGAGGAATAAAAATGAATATTTTTTTTAGAATGAAAAAAGAAATCCCCCTTCTCCCATCTCCACCATTCCCCAATTATGGAGTATTTGGAATTTCAGGGCCCCTTTCATTCCTAAAATTTCTTAGAAGAAATTCCTCTTAATTCCAACCCAACTTCCCCGCCTCACCTAAAACACTCCAGGACCCCCACATTTACAGGCTCATGCTAGCAAGGGATCTTTTTTTTTTTTTTTTCATTTTTCTTTTATTATTCATATGTGCATACAAGGCTTGGTTCATTTCTCCCCCCTGCCCCCACCCCCTCCCTTACCACCCACTCCACCCCCTCCCGCTCCCCCCCTCAATACCCAGCAGAAACTATTTTGCCCTTATCTCTAATTTTGTTGTAGAGAGAGTATAAGCAATAATAGGATAGCAAGGGATCTTGAAGTGCCAGTTCATTAGCATCATCTACCTCTGATTACTGTTGATCTGAGGGTACAATTTTATAGACATGGTGGTAGCAAAAGTCAAAGAGAGGGTTGAGAACTGATGGGAAATATGGAATTAAGTGGAGAAGGAGGATGTAGAAATTTGGTGTAAGAGGGGAAAGAGATTATTTGGTAGTGGAAGGAATATGTGGGGGCAGGAGAAGAATTTTTGGAGAGTTAAATTGGAGAGCCTTGAGTATTTTTAAATGAAGATAGGAGGGAAGAGATGGAATCCAGAGCACATGTGGAGGGATAAACCCTTGGTAGGAGGAGTGAGACTTCACTGTTGGGATGGAAAGAAGAGAAGGTGGGGTCAATGTAAGGAGGTTTGTAAAATTAGTGGTAGAAAAGTCATTCCCATTTATTTTCTTAGTGAATTAGATAGTGAAGTCATCACTTGAGATGGAGTTGGAAAGTATGGGGAGGTGATGTACTGTAGTACAATGGAGAGAGTTTTGCATAGTTGCTTTATAGTATGAGAAAGAAAATTTACTAGAGAAATTGAATAGACCACTGGTTAACATTCCATGTGCGAATTTTAGTCCTGAGTTTAACACACACACACACACACACACACACACACACATACACACACACACACACACACACACATACACACACACAAAGGCAGTCAATCTTGTATGTGTGTGTGTGATTTTTTTGCAGGAAGCAGTGTAAAACTACTTTAGGATAGACATGCTGGATTTATCCAGGCTTGGGATTTTTAATACAAAAAATAGTCAATCTTTGTGTATGTATGTGAGGGATTTTTTTTTTTTCTCAGCAAGCAGGGTACAGCTACTTTAGGGTAGACATGTTGCATTCATCCAGGTTTGGGATTTTTCCAAATAAGTAATATGGAGGGAGAAAATTTAAAATATTTCCAAGGGAATGATTATGATGAGGGGGAAAATTTCTCAGAAGGGGGGGTGATAATATTTTAAAAATTGTTGGAATTGGGGCTAGTGGAATGGCTCAAGTAGCAAAGCACCTGGTTAGAAAGTGTGAGGTCCTGAGTTCAAACCCCAGTATTACCAAAAAAGAAAAACCTCAAAAAAGTGTTGGGATCAAAAGATTTGGAGACCAAGGAAATCCAAGACTATTGCAATAAGAATAGTTGAGTAGGGTCACATTGGCCATCATAGCATCCCTTAGCATCTGACTGCACTGGTTAGTATTAGCCTAAAAACTGGTCCTTCTCATGTTACTAATATCAGATGAAAGTGTTCTAGGAAACCTCCAATACGATAAAGAGCTTTACTTGAAATTCTAAAGTCATTCAGTCTGTGACTCAGGTATGTCTGGGCTGTATAGTGGGCTAATGGAAAGGCCCACTAAAGTTCCTGAGCCTCCCTGGATCATTCTTTATTCTAAAGAAAGAGCAATTTGAGGGATAGTGGCATGGTCTAATCAAGTGGGTGGAGTAGTGATGAAAGGAAGGGGTGTTCTGAATTCAGTACAGTCATTATGGCCCAACTCCAAGAACTTCCTGAGTTGGAGAAGAAGATTCTGCAATCAAGAGTGAATCGAAATGAAGAGCACTGTTTGCCATCAAGAGCACAAGCTAGTAAATTGCCTGTATAATGGATTACACCACAGAGGTGCAAAAGTAATCTTTCATAGCAACACAATAATTATTAGTACCCAGGATTGAATCACTATTATTGCAGTGGTTCAAGAAAAGTTCCCATAATTGTAGGTGGGGGTGCAGCCATAGGATTTTTTATTTGTTTTTATTTATTTTTATTTTTATACTATGGCTGTTTTGTCTCAGGCAAATGCAGCTATGCAGATTTTTAGGTTGATGAAACTTATAGTTTTGTAGATAGATACCCATCATTGACAAAGGCTCAGTGGCCTTACTTAAGGACCTCATCTCCATGAAGCAGTGTTTTTCTGCTAAGATCCACAGATTATGGTCATACCAGAATCAATGAGAGGAAAACCCAGAAGAGCTTCGTTAGAATCCAGTGCCATTTCTAGGAAGAGGTCTGTGACCTACAGAGTCTTGCAGAGGTTGAGGAATTGATCTGATTTAATTAATAATATGGGTGAGGAATTGATCTGATTTAATTAATAATATGGAAGTGTGATTACATTCAAGGTTAGAGGTACTCTTTTAAGAGGTTTTTTTTTTTTTGGAGGGTGGTTGTTTTATAAGTAAGAAAAAATGGTCATGAATGCCTATGTTTTACCAAGGGCACTACATCAAGAAACTGCTCTGAAAACTCCCTCTCCATACTTATAGATACACAGGCACCAGAATGGAAAGGGTCTTTCAAGTGATCTTGTCAAGGGATCTTGTTTTGCAAGTAATGAAATTGAGGCCAGGAAGAGGAACTGAGTTGACTAATTAGTATCAAATCTAGAACTCAAGTCTCCTCACTCCTTGTTCAGGAGGTCATGCCAAAGTCACAGGTTCCCCGCATAAGTAGGTATGCAGCTCAAAGTGTCCAAGAAGCCTTCTCGTGCTTAGGAATCTGAAAGAGGAAGGAACCCACCCTTTTCTCTTCAGGTAGGATTGGTAACAACTCTCCAAATTTAAAAAACAATTTCTTTGAGGGTCTGGGTTGAAGTCTGGTCTCTCACCTGTAGCTGGGCTGTTGCAGTGAGCATCTTCTGCCGAGTTTGCAATACTGTGGATGAGGACATGGAGATAGGTACACTTTGCCTCAGCCATCTTATGTCTTCCCACATACAAGACAGCTGCAAAAGATGTCACGAGGTCATATCATCATCCAAGCCAGTACATGATTTAGGTTGTGGCATCAAAGCAAAGCAGGGAGAAGGAAACCTGACCCCTGATGTTTGTTCTCCAGTCCATTTTCAGATACATGTGAAACAACTTTTTGATCTCTGTCCAATTGGAAAAAGATCTGAATGCTAATGAAACAGTCAGATCCACATTTTAGTCTTTGCCAAAAGATCCCATAACTCAGAATAGTGGAGACACAATCTGACAGGATGCAAGCTTCTTTGCTTTGAAAATGTAATGCAGACACTATTTTGGCATTTTTTATGACACAGGGCATAGTAAGGCCGAAAGGGGCCTTTGAGATAATTTCCTTCTACACAAAACTTTGATCACGGAGGACCCCTCAACTAAGGTTTCAGAGATTTATGTGCAGTAACATTGGTGCAAAGTGGGGAAAAATTAAATCAGAACTCAATATACCTTTGTGAACCACAGGAAATCTTGTGTAATGGAACTGGTGTGAGAGTCATCTATTTCAACAATTGGTATTTGATCTTCATTGGTGACTAACATATTGTCTTTATAATAAAATATAACAGCTATGTAGAGTCCCCTAAAAAGAAAAAGCAAAATAAAAATTGTCCTAAATCAGCTTTTCTGCCAAACTTGAGTCTTAGAAAAAATATATTTTGAACATTATAAAAGATGAATTTAAAATATACCTGGGGTCATATCCCTGCTATGTATCACAAGTTCACTGGATAGAGCTCAGAGAAATTACTATCTAGACCATATTTTCAGGAGAATTCATTCCCTTATTAAAAAATAAATTTGTACAAAGTTCCATTCAGAACCAAGACCAGCTTATTCCTGAGAAGTTAAGACTTTCTGGAAAAAGTATATAGGACCCACCGTTTCAAGGTCTTCACAAACTTGTTTGAGGAATGGAATAGGTGTTTTAGGCTTCTTGATACTGACTGCTTGCGGCTTGTGGTTTGTAATTTTGAACTTTCTGGAACATAGAAAAAAATAGTTTAAATTCCATTTGACACTTTATTCTTTCTTTCTACCTTCTTGCTTTCCTATCCCTCATCCTCTAAGTATCAATGGTTTTCATGGAGGGATCCAGCTCATTCCTTCCTACAGGAAGCTCATATCTTGAGATCCCAGCAGTTAATTAATGAACGACTCCTCAAAAATGTTCATTACTCTATGGGAAACCACTTAGAAGTTTTGTTGGTACTCTGGATAAATGATTTATTATTAGTGAGGAGAAAACGGAAATGTAATCAACTTCTTTTTCACACTCCCCCATTCACCAATTGCCTTTTAATATTCACATACTTCTCAGTGCTTCCAAAGCTCTCTTAGTCTACATAATCTATTAATTTTTCATTATAAAATTAATATAAGCACCTTATAAGAAAGTATGGAGAATGGGCAGGGTGGGTGGGAAGGAAAGAATGAAACCCCATCAATACTCATCCTGTCACTTCCATATAACCACTATGAACATTCTGGGACAACATTTTCCTAGCATGTATGTTGGCTTACAAAAATAGCTGTAGGGATAGGTATGATTGTCATCCTCATTATTCAGTAGAAGAAACAGACTAAGAAGTGAAAAGGATTGCCTAAGGATTGCAAAGCCAGCACTTGGAAAAACATGAGACATTCATTCATGGAACACATATTTTTTTGGGAATCTACTAGGTGTGAGCTTCTGTAGCTGCACAAGTGAGCATATTTGTTTCTGCTCACCTCCTCTGTTTATTACCTGGGGCTCTCTCAAGTAAAAGTAGTAGAATTCCTAGACTTCCTGCAATAGTCTTTGCAAACAGTGGTTCATGGAGCTGTAGTAGACGATCTCTGATTTCAACAGTTATATTCTTTGGAACCGAGAGAAGCTGAGCTTATTGGTGTCATCACTAAACTTTGTTTTTTGTTTTTTTCTTTTTTTTTATTATATTCATATGTGCATACAATGTTTGGGTCATTTCTCCCCCCTTCCCCCTGCTCTCTCCCTTACCCCCCCAATACCTTGCTACCAGGCAGAAACTATTTTGCCCTTATCTCTAATTTTGTTGAAGAGAGAGTATAAGCACTAATAGGAAGGACCAAAGGTTTTTGCTAGTTGAGATAAGGATAGCTATACAGGGAGTTGACTCGCATTGCTTACCTGTACATGCGTGTTACCTTCTAAGTTAATTCTTCTCAAACTAACCTTTTCTCTAGTTCCTGGTCCCCTTCTCCTATTGGCCTCAGTTGCTTTAAAGTATCTGCTTTAGTTTCTCTGCATTGAGGGCAACAAATGCTATCTAGTTTTTTGGGTGTTTTACCTATCTTCATACCTTCCTTGTGTGCTCTCGCTTTATCATGTGATCAAAGTCCAATCCCCTTGTTGTGTTTGCCCTTGATCTAATGTCTGCATATGAGGGAGAACATACTATTTTTGGTCTTTTGGGCCAGGCTAACCTCACTCAGAATGATGTTCTTCAGTTCCATCCGTTTACCTGCGAATGATAACATTTCATTCTTCTTCATGGTTGCATAAAATTCTATTGTGTATAAATACTGCATTTTCTTAATCCATTTGTCAGTAGTGGGGCATCTTGGCTGTTTCCATAACTTGGCTATGTGAATAGTGCTGCAATAAACATGGGTGTGCAGGTGCCTCTGGAGTAACCTGAGTCACATTCTTTTGGGTATATCCCCAAGAGTGCATCACTAAACTTTGAATGTACCTGTCACTGGGGATGAGAACGTGGTCCATATCGCTACTATTAGGCATAGAAACTTGGGCAAGTAGCCATGGCTAAGGCCCAGTGTGGCTGTGCCTGTGATCTTATGGGAATAGCTCATTGACAAAAGCATTCATGTAACATTCAAACTTGTGTGATAAGGTTATTTCTGGACAAAAAAGCAAATTTTTTTTTCTGACTTGAACATGGGTTTCTTTCTTGGTGTGCACATGAGTTTGACTACTTGAAAATGATGATGCTGGGACTTCCTGTTAAATGCTACCTAGCATATTCACAACATACCAATCTCTCCATAAACCTCACGAAAACCTCACAGAGAAAAGATTGAGGAAAAAAGGAAACACCATTAATTTATAAAGGCAAATAGGTGGGAAAGGAGACAAAAGCAAGTAAATTTTGGTAGCTGGAAAGCAGATGGACAGATGCATTTAACAGACTTGAGAAAGATGAAGCCTAAGGCCCCAGTTGGAGAAAGCTGAGAAGTAACCCGTTTCACCCTACAAACTCCATGGGATGCTGGAAGTGGGGGTGCATGTGGAGCTAAAATCAGAAGGATATATTAAAATCTGTTTGAAAGGCAGTTATACTTGTAGATCCTTTTTCCCTACTGTGTAGCTGGTTTATTCTCTGGAAAGCAAAACAACCAAAACCCAAAATAAAACCTCCCAAAACAATAAACAGATCTCTGGAGTGGGAGGTAGAGAGACATCAGGTACAACAGAAAATTGGATGATCATGGTGGTGGTAGTATAGAAAAAACAAGTAGATTAAATGAAAATGTCCACACATAATATTTCCCTTTGCGTTCTCAGAACCCAGGCTGATAACCTCTGAGCAGGACACTGGAAGAAATTTCTTTGGAGAATTTGAGCAGCCTAAGAGAATAAACCCACAGATTATGACATTGGTGATTTCCCAGTAAAAAGGTGGTGCCAGTTCACCCTACAGTGAAGCCTATAAATAAAGTAAGTGCCTTACTGTGTGTTCAGGACTCCCTAATGGCTATCGAGTTCAGTTAAACCTGAGCAAACATCTAAGGATCACCAGGCAGATGAGAAACACACCCAACGTGAAATACAAATGCCCAAACCAAATAAGTAAAAGAGAAACTTGGAAGAAGGACTACCTGAGAAAAGAAAATACAAAATGAAATAAAACCTATTATTAATACTCTGAGAGATGAGACATTGCATATTTGTTAAAAGGATAGGATTCTATGAAAAGAACCAATCATAGAACAAAAGAGAGCACTGAGAATCGAAAGTATGTTATCAAAAACTTAAAAATTTAATAGAAGGCTTAGAAAATAAAGGTGATACAGTTTCTGAGAATGTGGGATAAAAGGACATGAGGATAGAAAAGAGAAGGAAAAAAAAGAAAATGAAAGAACTAGTGTAGGAAATCCAACATCTGAATAACAAGAGTTTTAGTAGAAGAGAGGAGAGGAAAAGGAGGTGAAGGAATAATTAAAGAAATAAGAAGAAAATGTTTCATAATCAAAAGGTACAAACTTCTATATTGAAAGGACTTCTAAGAATGCCCAGTAAACAGATAAAAGATAGTAAGGTATATCACAGTGAAGTTTTAGAATATTGAAATCAAAAGACACTGGAGAGAGAGAGAGAGAGAGAGAGAGAGAGAGAGAGAGAGAGAGAGAGAGAGAGAGAGAGATAGAGAGAGAGAGAGACACCTCTGGAATCAGAATGGTACTAGACTTCTCTGGCCTGAAAGCTAGAAGACAAAGCAACACCTTCAAAATCTGAAGAAAAATTATTTCAATTGAGAATTTTATACTTGTCCAAATTTTGAATAAATCCCTCTTTAGATGTACAAAATATCACAAAATTGCTCCTGTGAACTCTTTCAGGAAGCTATTGGAGGGAAAGCTTCACCAGGGAAGAGGAAGACTTGAGGTACAAAAAGAAGAAATCAATATTGGAGAGTGATAAGAAGAGTCTTCAATATGGTGGTAAAAGGCAATGCCAGGGTGCAGGGGACATGAAAACAGCCAGTCACCTGTATAGTTGAGAGCAGGGCAGAGGCTCCATGACAGGATTATTCCAAAAGACGCAGTTGAAACAATGCTTAATGTATCTTGAGACTGAGAAATTTGATAAAATTGGGGAATAGGGATTTTTTAATTATAACCATATAGAAAAATAAACAACACATAATAAAGGATGATTGTTAATTATAGGGGAAACAAAATCTATCCAGGAAAGGAAAACAGTCATAACATTTACCTTATAATGTAAACATTAAAATTTAATCTTACTAAAATTCAATGTAAATATATTAGAATGGTGAGAAGATGGGAGTTGTGTGTGTACATGTAATGGGGAGGTAGAGTGAAAAAAACAGATACATTGTTATTTTCTCTTTTTGAAATAATACCTAAAATTGAAAAAACCCTAGTATCAGAAATATGCTGAATATGTTATTTAGAGAATAAAACTTAGTGAAAGAATTGGCAAAAGGAGTTAAGAGGTTGCTTTTGGGGAGCAAGAAATGGAGATGGGAAGAAATTGTTTCTTACCCTTTTTATTAATAATCCATTTTAAGTCATCTATTCCTTTAAAAATGGATGAATGAGGTATATATAATTATTTGCATTTTACAGATAAGCAAGGTGAATCACAGAGCGGTTTAGGTAGCTAGTTGGACTTTAAACTCAGGCAGTCAACCTTCAGAAACACATTATAATAATATAAAACAAAGATTAAACAAAAAATAGACTAAAAAATAAAAGGAGAAAAATAAAAAATGCTTCTAATACTTGGGAAAGGATTAAACATTCCAGGCCTCTTCTGTCCTGGGCACATATGGTTAGAATGGCATTTCTGGAGCCCTTGTGGTTGGGTGGGACCATGTGACCAGTTCTGACTAATGAGTTCTGAGCCTTTGTGACATGCATAGTTTTGCCCATATAAGACCTTCAAGAGTTTCTTTTCCTCTCCAAGGATTTCTGGCAAATGTTTGAGAGATGATAACAACACAGAGGGAAAGTTCCCAACTGAAAGGGGATGGGGTGTAGATATATAGCATGAAGGAAAAAACATACTTTTGGGGGATTATTTGGCTATTGCAGCATAATACAGGCCATCTTGATGGATATGGGGTCTAAAAATCACTTTTCTCCTAAGATCCACTGTGCCTTCCACACTATACTTCTCTGCTTGGTGCAGAACTCTGGAGTACAGGTTTCTGTACCCTGAACACAGTACTTCTCTAGCTTGTAAGTGCTTGGAGCATGGAGAGTTTATTCATCCTGGCGTGTCTAACACCTGACACACAGTAGGCAGGGTTTCAGTTAATGTTGTTTTTGAAGTTGAGCAAATGAATGATAATTGAAATTCACACCTGTAGGATGCTGCTATGATGCAAACAATTGCCTTTGCTATAATTCATTATATATTTTAAGGGAATGAACTGTGTTAATGATAAAGTTTGCTCATTATCTCCCTTGAATTTGCATCTCAGTACTGAATATTCAGATTAAGTGTGACCAGTTCTTTAGCCAAAATTCAGAAATGAATGTGGGCTTTAGTACTGCCTCTGTAGAGTGTATAAGAGAAGAGATGTTTTATTATTGTTACTGCATCTGGAATATGCTGTAGATTTAGTGAGCACCCCAGCTCATTATAGTGGAGTCACTTCTTATATTTTAATTCTAAGATATATCAGTAAAAAACTGAGGTTGGAGAGTGGATCTGTTCTTCATCTGGAAGAACAATGGAAGAAAACATAAACTAGAGTTTGCACTGTGACATATGAATTTAATCCATTATCTAATTTAATCCTCAGAACAACCCTGCAAGTTAGATATTATTATCCTGAGTTTTCTGATGGGGCTCTGTCTCAGAGAGATTAATGCTTTCCCCAAAATACATAGCTAGTAAATGGTACAACTAGACTTGAAATAATTATTTTTTCCTAATTGTAAAGTTTATAAAGGTTTTATTATAAAATTTATATGGTTTATGTCCCCAATAAACCAATAGCATCTCAATGTAGTTGAATATTTTAAATAAGAATTTTATAGTTTTCTGTAAGCAATATTTACATTATTCTGTCTTTATCTTTTAAATGTAGAGTTATACTAAATCATTTTAGAATCATTCCATTTTTTTGAGTGAGGTAATTTGTTTTATCTTGGCATATTATAGATCAGGATTTCTCAAAGTTTATGCCTTGGAATACTAATTCTATGAGAAAGTTTTACATCGCTGAAAAGCATGGAAAATGCTTTTTAACCAAATGTAGTATGCCTCTTTATTATAATCTTTAATATTCTTATGTATAATTTACATTTCCAAGGGATGAAGAATGTAGTATTTCCCAAGCTTACCTGACAAGAAAACCTTTTCCAACTCAGCATTGTATAATACTACTATTCTGAGTAACACACTTTGGATTTTTTTTTTATGTGTTCAGAGTACATGTCAATATAAAAATATTCCTCTTTTTGGGAAGTTCAACCTTATGCCGTACTTAAATTTTTCCTAGTATTGGTGTGCATTTTTATTTCTGGGGCAGAAAACCATGTACATGACAGAAGTTAAATGCAAACTCTAGAAATAATTGAGCTGCCCAGGAAATGATTTCCTGTAAGCCATAGTAACAAGGACAGCATTTGAATGCTCAGATAATATTAAAAAAAAAATCCCTCACTCTCAGGTCCAGTTTTGGCTTACCCCCTCAGATAAAGACCAAACACAAAGTAGTTACAATTACAAAGGACTGCCTGTCCAATTGTTTTACTACCTTTACTTCCATCCAGGGCTCAGGGGGCAGGGGAACAATGGAAAGGCAGAAGAGAAAGGAGCCCAGGTAACACCAACTTGGTTAAATGAATCTGGGGACCTAGAACTGCATGAATTTCTGTCAGGATGAAATGCTGAAGGTCCTGTTTTGGGTAAAGTCTTCCTAGAGATCCAGGAATGAAAATCACACTTGGGGTTCCTTGAGTGTGGTGAATATCCATAAGTTGCTTACATATATATTTACATCTCCAAATGAACCACTCATTAGAAAAACATCATTTTCTTGCAAATACTTGCCCTCATCTCTAGTTAGAGCCAACATTTCTGAAGGGCCCTGTTGTCATAGCTATAGAGTAATTGGGAAAACTTTGTGCTAATGCTAAGTATGATTTATACCTAGTCCAAACACAGCTAACATAGCATTTCTTAGTTTCAACTGTGGCTTTCTTTCCCAGCTGGCCCAGCAGTGCCCTGAATCTAGACAGCACAATGTAGTTGGAGATCTGATGGGAGCATGGAAAATGAAAACTTTATGGAGGCTTTAATTCTCCAAATAAAACTAAGTGCCTCTTCCACGAATCATTACACAGATCAGAAACCTGACCCTGTCCCATTTGAGCAGCCTAAGCAGCAGACAGGCTTTTAAAAGAATCTCAGAGGTTCTTTGGGCACAATTGGCTGGAATCTAGAGGAGAGCTTTGCTTTCTCCTCAACAGTGGAACATTGGAAGACTCAAGTTCAGGGTAAGATTAAAGTTCAGTGCCTAGTCCCGAGGCAAGACTAGGAGACAAATAAGGTGTGTCAGGAAGGATGGACTTGGAACCAGAAAACCCAGGTTGGAGTACAGATTCTGTCTTCTCCTGCCACAGTGACCTTGGACAAGTCACTTAGGCTCAGCTGTAATTGCCAAAATGAAAATGAAAAAGGGATAGTGGATATGAAATTGTATTGTAAACTATATTATAAATCGATTTGAAGGCCTATTATTATTGTCATTATAATTGTTTGACCTCCCTCAGGGATGCTCTGGAAAGTGAAAATGTTGAGGGTGAATATTCTCAAAGACCCAGCACCACATCGGAGTCTTGCGAAGGGACAATTCAAAGAGAAGAGAACTTAATGGCAGCTACTGTTTTTCTTGTGCTCATTTTCAAGCTGTTCAAATGGAGAGAGGGACAGAGAGAAAAAAAAAGCATGAGAGAGAAGGAGAGGGAAGTCTCTGCTGAGGGGTTAAAGCAAGATAGTGCTGTAAAGTGATTCCAGATGTACAAATATTAATATCTCTCTCTCCCTGATGAATGAGAAGGTATGACCCAGCTAGGAAACTGCTAAAATTACCGGCGCCACCGAGACCTCAGTCGATGGCCCAGCGCAGATTTTATCCTTACCCCGGCAGCTGTAATGCTGATGAAGGGCTCGGACCTGCTGCAGCAGACTCTCCAGAACTTCACTCTGTCCCTTGTGTCTGGGCTCTCTGTCGTCATAGTCTTTCCAGTCTATTGAACAAAAGAAACAAACAGAGGGAAATTTTAAGGCCTCTTCCCTGCCCTGCCTTAGGAGCTGGGGTTTTCCACATACTGCCCACAGCTCTGTGGATGAGCACCCAACATATGTAGCGCTAGCAGGTCTTGCCAAATATTTGGAGGCCGCCATTGTTCGGAGTCCTGTGCATAACAGTAATTGTGGTTGGTTTCTTATGTTGGGCACTTATAGGGCAAGAGAAAAATGGTAATTGAAAGCCAAAAGAAAATAGGAAATTTAGGAGTTTAGTCTATCCCCTCCTAGTTCCCCTCCCCTTTCACTATCCCATGTCCTAATCAGTTTCCCGGCCATCTCTCCACTTAGCACCCCAAGTCTCAACTGGATTTCCACAGTAGGAAAGAAAGGGTTGGGAATGTGCAGACTAGATGAAATCCACAGTCCCAATGCTTTTATTGTAGGTTTCACACTTTTGGCCAGATTGACATTTCTTTCCAAGGAAAGAGCCCATGTCAGATGCCAAGAAATGGAAATCTACATTTTGCTCTAATGAATGTCTGCTTTGGTTAGCTGGCACAGCAACCTCTGCACATACTCTGAGCCACCAACCACCCTGTCTGCTCAGTCTCTAAATATACAGTATTAGCTTACATGGCAAATTTAAATTGCAATCCCCACTGAGATTTTTCTCCCCCTTCTATTTTCATTCCATTTGGCTATAATGATATCAAGAGTAATAACTCATATGGGACTAATGTCAAGATTGTAATTCTGCTGTCTCCAACTCTAGATTTTTTTTCAGCAGGTCAGTCATTTAATTGTTCATCCCTTCTCTCCTGCTATCCCTCCCCCAGTTTTCCTTTCTGAACCTTTCCAAAGCAGTAACTTAAAGCCCTTCTTAGTTGAAATGCTTTCTCTAAAAGTGCTAGTCACTCTTCCTCAGAAAAACCAGTTAATTCACAAGGGTATATTGGGCTTAAATTCTAGTCAAACAAGTTTCAGATTCCCTCCATGTTGGATCTATTTTAAAATATGGGGTCCTCTTCAGTCAAAAATGTAAGCATATTGTGCCAGTTAAAGTTAGGTAAAAGCATCCTACACTGTCCCATCCAAGGTCCAGGAGTGCAGCAGTTAGGAGGGACACAGTTCTGGACTCAGATAAACATGGCTTTTTCTATTCCTAGCTCATTGTCTGCAGACAAGCTACTTACATCAATAGTGCCTCGACTCACTAATTTGAAAAATGAGGGTAGTGTCTACTTTGTGAGATTTTTATGAGGATTAAATGAGAAGTATATTAGGTATCTGGCACAATGCCTGTTACATGACAGGCATTCTGTAAATAATTAGATAAAAGCAATTCATTATGGAAACAACATTTTTCATCCTATCAGATAATTACCTATGTATGAAAAATGGAGTCTCAGATTTTCTTATCTTTCTTCTTTCCTATTCTCTTCCATGTACACAAGTTCTCCATTTTACCTTTTGGAACACTGAGGTCTAAGGACCACAGTTCCAGTCCTGTTTTATTCAGCTTGTTGCACAGCTGGAACTGTGACAATATTTAGGGACTTTCTGTGCAGTGCTCCTACTCATTTCATTTCTTTCTTTCTTCTGGGAAGGAGGGTCAGAAGCTTGGTTAGTGTTGGTGTGCTGGAGCCTAGTTGTGGTCAGCTTTGGAGACCAGAAATTGGCATATAAGCATTTTGTAGTTTCTTTGTTACTTGTGGGAAAGAACCATGATTAATTTCTCTTTGCCTCGTTTTTCTTCTCTGTAAAGTATGTTTTAAAATCTCCGTTTAGGTTTTTTGGACCTGTGGACATGGTGAGAACAAACATTGCCCTCACAGACCCTCAAAGGCCATTACTCTCTTAGTTGGATAATGTGTGTATCTGAAGTGCTCAGGATTCACCAAACAAGATCATGTGCTTGCCTAAGATTCCTGGGTGGCTGAATTACTATGTGGCCCTGAACATGCTAATACATTTTAATGAGTGTTAATGCTGCCATCAATGTAAAAGAAGATAAAATGGGTCTGGCTTTTTCAGCTGAGCCCTATTACAGCAGGGCAAGCGCAGTCTGATGACTTTATGATACATTAGAAAATTGCTAATGCTAAATTGCAGCCCAAGTGAGCACTGTACATGATGCCAAGGTTTTTGGAAAGAATGAGTTTTTCTCATAGATGTTTGGAAGGTTCTGATGCATACATAAAATAGGAGACTTTAGGGATGAGGGAGAAAATTGAAAATATATTAAGAAGTCAGGAACCTGACAGAAAGAAACTTAGCATAGTAGGAAAAGAGCAGATTGTGCCACACAATGCAGCTCACTGTTCTGGTAATGAGACACTTGCATTGCAACACAATGCAAAGCTTACATTCACTGGCCATATCAGGGTTTTCCCGATCATAACTCAGACAAGCCTGTCTGGGTGCTTTTCTCTTATTATGAACCATACCATATAACATAAGTCTATAAAAACACATTAAGGCCTTTTGTAAAAATATTAAAAAAAGTTTTATAGCTTACTGGAACATATTACCAAATTTCCAATTACTCTGTCATGTTAGAATACATTGTCCTCTAGTAAATATCTGAATACTGATATATGTTACATCACAATGTCATACTCTGTTTATAAATAGAATGGGAGTGTTTTTATATTGTTCTTCCAAGTGATATGGCATGTCTGCAGCAACTATAACCATGTGTTAGGATTTCAGTTTTTTGCCAGTTACCCCTACTAATCAAACAAAACATACTGTTTTAGAAACCATTGCTATTTAATATGTTAATTGCTAATAAATAAATAACCCCTCCAAGTCCTGAACAATTGTGCTTGTCATTCTGGAGAGAGCTCTTTAAATAAGCTATGAGAGAGGTGTCTGAATAGAATTTACAGTTTTTAGAACCAGTGCTTCTGACCTTTATAAGGAAATGCATGGGGTATGTATTTGGAGTGGGTTCTTCCTTGCTTCATTTTCAAGTCAACTAAGACTAGCATATATATTTTTTAACTTTTCTGTGCTTTCTGTCTCTCCAATAAAACATCCTTCCCTAATGGGATTGGTTCCCTTAGTGCAATTCCCAGGCTGTGTTTCTGATGTATCTTTTTAGTAATGAAGCTGTCTGAGCAAGACTGGTGTAATTAAATCATCACATGCAGGGAGCATCAGGGCCCTTGGAGATGTCTGGTATTGGTGGTACAAAGGCCTGCATGACCTGATATAACTATCTGAATTCATGGAACATGGTAGTCAGGCATGGTTGGCTGATACTGATGATAGCAGGGCGATAGTTACCACAGCATAGGAGATGAGGCAGGGCTTTGACCAATTCAGGTTTAAATCCTGGCTCAGAAATGTACCAATGATGATGTGAACTTGGAGAAAGGCAATGTCTTCTCTGAATTATAGTTCAAAGGTTGGACTCTGTGGATGTCCCTTTATGTTAATAGTTCCCTCATCATTAAAATGAGCCAATCCATGTAAAGTACTTAGATTAATGCCCAGAAGATAATGAGTCTTATAAATGTTCTTGCTGTTGTTGATAGTGATACAGATGATATGATGGTGCTTATTCACAAGACAGGAAGGAGGATGAAGGATTGGTATAAGGATCAAAAGAGATACTGCATGTTTTATCACCTGGCTGATAGTTGGTTTTGGGGAAAAGGTTGTTATAACACTTGAAAAATAAATAAATTATATGTTATATATTTCTATATTATACATAGAAAACTAAAAAGTCCATAATCTCATAAGTTAATGTCCATTGTTAAATTTTGATAGCTAGCAAGACATATAGAACACCCTACCTAATTATAGGTGAACTAATTGTTAAATGTTACATGGAAAATCTCCACATTTATTATTATTATTTAAATAAAACTTATACTGTAGAAATTTTTTTCACATAATTTTTAAACATCATTTTTGGTGGTTGTGTTTAGTTCTATAGCATAGATATGATATTTATATGTTAGACATCACTTAAGTATTAAATTAATAATGGCTTGTTTTTCCCATGATATTTTGCTGTTATCAAAATATCAGAGTACATAATTGTTTACTTGCAGCTCTGTTTCCTTAGGTTAGATTGTTAGATATATAATTTGGAGTAAAAGGAAATAGATTTTCTTAAGGCAGTTGATCTAATACAAGTTGTGCTCTGTAAAGGATTTAGTAGTTTGCACTCTCACAAGAAGCATATGAGACCACTTTTAACTATTGTATTAGTGACTTTTTTTTTAAACATGAAAATACAATCCAAAGCATTGGTTTCATTATAAAGAAAAATCTATTATATGGTCTGTCTGGAGACATTTGTTCTGGTTAATTAAATTTTCTGGTTAATAGAGAGTTACCAAACATACCAGGCATGAATTATTAATCTTCAAATAATTAGAAGAGGCCTTTGCTGGATTTCTCAGCCACCACTACAAATGTTATAGATTGTATTTGTTGTAGGTTGATTGTTAGTAAGAGAGCTTTTGGCAGAAGGTCTGATAAGTAAAAACTTTTATATTTCATTCTCTTATGAAATTGATGTGATCTGTCCTCCTAAGGCAAAGAAGGGGAGATCAGAGGTAAAGTGGACTCTAAATACTCCCACACAGCTACTCCCACAGTGTCACCTCTCCATCCCCACTGAAGCCCTGGAAAAGGAGACGATGAAACTAAGTGTACAGATGTTGATTCCAGACACTGAGAGCTTAGGTTACTTTTGAAGGATACAACTGATAAAAGGTATAATGATGATCAAACTCAATCTGTCTGGTTCCAAATTTCCTCTCCTTTCCCTCTACTGAGCTGCCTTTCTATGAGCATTTCTGCAGAGGAGTCATTCTTCTGTGGCTCAGCTGCTGCCCTGAGAAGGAACTGAGGATGGAGCTGGAGTTGGAGCCTGCTGCCATGCTGGAGTGTAGCCACCACCTACTAGAAGGAGAGGCACATGCTGGTGTTGTGGTCTGAGCAGGTCCCCATCCTTTCATGTTATAAGCTGAGACTTGGACAAAATATTGTTGGCCCTGCAAAGAATCGAAATAGAATAATGCATCAGGCATTTTAGTTAATCACTTTTACTGGAGAGGCAAGTACTTGTGTTTGGTTAGCTTGATCACTCTTGGGAACTCTACTGTCTCCACTTTAGTTTTCTGTATTTTCTTATTATATTTATGCATTATAGTAATCATTTCTATGTACTTTCTTGTTTTAAGAATTGGAAATTATATTTACTTTTCCTGACCCCCCCAAGTTACATATCAATTTTTAAAAGTCACATAGTTCTCCAAAGTTTACCAAAAATAGCAATCCCTCACCCTCACCTCTTTTTCCTTCTTTCCCCTCCCCAGAGGCAACAACCATCACCTTCTTTAGCTGATCAACTTACTTTAGAAAATTAACAAGGTATAGTAGGTATCTTTTCAAATTAGTGCATTAAAGACTGGCCTCATTCTTTTAGTGGCTGCATAGTATTTCTCTGTGAGCAAATGCCATCATTTATTTAACCAATTCCCCATTGGTGGACATTTGGATTGCTTTCATTTTGTGCCACAATAAATAATCCTGCAATAAATATCCTTTACTCAGCTGTTCAAATATTTTTAAAAATTAACTCTTTGATGTGACTTCAATGTTAAAGCTATTATTAAAACAATGGCTTATATTCTTTAATGTCTTTTTATGGCATTAAGAATTAAGGAGTTGCTTTCATTCACTGATAATCCTTTAAAATGTTTTGTATGGTTTTATTTTTTGCTTTGAGGGTTTATTTTCTTTTTTTCTAATGAAACCAAAGGGGCATTTGAGATGCCAGCATTTGATGAAACATTGCTTGCAAAATTGTAAGTGATGTTTGAAGTTCAAAAAAATAGCACATCTTTGTAGAGCCTTTGCTAGGGGTTTAGTAATATCAGACTCACCATAATTCGAAGTTAATTTTTTTTTCTCACATTGAATGCAGGTTTCTATGCACCTCAAGGTTATAGGGATTATGTAGAAGTGTAAATCTACTTCCAGGATTTTATATGATTAGGATAATGTCTGCAACATTCTCATTGGATGGCTAAGTGTAAAAACTTAATCCCCTATAAAAATTAGCTCAAATATTAGAGAAGCCCTGTGTGGAGAGTTTTCCATTTTTATCACTGTATCACTTTTTCTTTTAAGCAGTGGAAATTCCCTAGGGTTCCTTCTGGCCTTCTTCCACCATGTGAGCCAGAAGGTTGGAACTGGTCCTCTGATGATAGCATTTCTGGGGGCCACCCACTCAGGGGTTTGTTTGCTCTGGTAATCCACAGTTTTGGTCTCTGGTGTAGACATGGGATTAGGACTAAAAGTCAGGATTCTTGGCGGTGACCCTACCACCAAGAATTCTATTAGAGCAGGTCAAACTTGAAAGATGCAACCTAAAAGATGCAGTTTTTTAATGCTGGGTTTTAGACATATATTATAGATAACTACTTAAATTGATTTAGCCTTTAAGAATACAACAGCAGAATTAGCCTACCTCTTCCACATGAAGGTCTGAAGATATTAATTATTTGAGTTATATGAAAAAAGGTTAAATTTACAAGGAAAAGATTTCGACTAAAATGATATTTTATTTTTTGTATTGTAATTGAAGAAAACAGGGTTTGTTTCAGTTTGAACTGATTTGCTAGGTATTTTTATGTTTTGCATTTCATACATTCATATATGGCTCATAGTCCCATAAATAGTGTTTGAGTTTAGATTGGTTAAACAAATAAGCATGATTTGTTCCAGTTTTTCATTCAAAGTTTAAATTGGTTTAGGTTACCGAGAAATGTAGCTCCACTATATATATATATATTTTTTCTTTTTTTTGTAGAAGTATATTTAGACAGTTTTTTTTTTTAATCAAGGGAAAAGGATTTCTCTTGGGAAATAGTGTGACTCCAATTGATGACTGATCTCAACCAAGGCTGGGGGGGGGGCAGCGGTAAGGGCTAGATGAAGCTGTTATTTTTACCATCAGACAGGGAGTCAAAATTGGATCTCTCAGAGCCTTTGATCCCCTGCAGATTAGACTGCGATCCAGAGAGCAGCAGCTTTCAGGGCTTGCATGAGGCCAGTCTTTTTCTGATCTCTTTAGAACACGGCAGTTTACAAAGTGGTTCATGCTGTCTGCTTACTCCTTTGTGAAATTCACATTATAGATACCAGACATATCACACTTAATGAGTGGCAGTTGTTGCCAGAAGACTGGGTGTTGGCTGTTAGTTTCAGAGTAGGCGTTTGCTACCAACAACCCAGCACAAGCATAGTGATAGGGAATGACAAGTCTACCAGGAGGATATTTACCATTGCAAGTCCTGTGATTGTGCATCTTAAGGTCTGCAGATTATCCATGATGATTTCTCCAGCCAAAGGGGAAAAGTCTTTAGACATACTCCACTCCACTGGAGGGGCAGGGGTGGGAGAGACAATGCAATTCAGTTATATGTCAAGAAGCTCCATAAGAAAACACTAACATATAATTCTTATAAAAAACAGTGCTTACCTCCATTTCCTCATAATGGCACATCTAATAATCCTTATTTTAAAAAAAAGGAGCCAAAAAAGTAATAATTCAATAGTCATTGATATATATATATATATATATATATATATACCTTATGAGTTTTTGAACCTTGATATTAGGTTATATGTATGTCTTGTGGTATTCTTTATAATATATATTAAATACTGTCATGCAAAGAAATGCATTATTAGGGCAATTTTGCTCTTGAACAAACATCACAGAGTATACTTATACAAACTAAGTCAGCTACACCATCACTAGGTGATAGGTAGTTGATCTGTCCTTGACTGAAATGGCTTTTATGACTGTATAGCTTTTCCCAGGAGATCATTGCTATATAAAAACACATACACTGTGTGTGTGTGTGCATGCATATGTATGCATACACATTCAGGCACATCATATACACAGTTAATTGTATGTAGAAAAGTGAAGAGTACATTAGGGTACTGCCTTGTGTTCCCTCCCAAGTCTGGCTTCTGCTTCATTATTCTACTGAAAATGCTCTTTCAAGGTACCAGTGGCATTGTGATTCCAAGTAAAGAAGCCTCCTTTATCTCCTCCCCATTATTTGACACCTTCTTCTCAAAACATTCTTCCTTTGGTGTCTCATATACTACTCTCTTCTCCTTCTCTGCTTCTCCTTCCTGATAACTTCTTTCAAGCTTTTTCTCTTCACCACTAAGATCAGGGGTTTGAGGCTGACTTATTCAATGCTGTTCTTCCCTGACATCTTCAAGGTGGTTGTTCATTCAGAGTTAAATCATTCAAATTTGAACACCTTATTTTGCCGTGAGACCATGTTCTTTTACAACATTTTCTGTTGGTTCAAAAAGTCATGGGTAGAAAAGTAAACTGTGCATCTGGGAAATAAGTATCATAAGTAACCATTTACACATGGTGGCATTTAAGGAAGCTGCAGTGAAGCAGAGCTGAAGTCACATGGAAACCATGCCTCCGTGTTTCTAAACCTCTTGTGACTAGCTAGAGACCTTAAGATTTAAGGTATATTCTCCATGACATTTAATATTTCATAATCAAGTCAAACTATCTCCAACTCTTGCTGCTTCTTTGAGTCATCCATTCCTCTGTGTTGGAGCCACTGCCCTGTACCCTCTTCCTCATGCCCCTGGAATCCAGCTTGGTTTCCTTACTCCCTTGAAATTGCTCTCATAAAATTCCTAGTGTTCTGAGAATTGGTAACAGCCCCTTTTTTGGACATCAGACCACCTTTGGCCTCCCTGGTTTCTTCAACCTTCCTTCCCCTTTGTCTTGGTTGTACCTTCTCATCTGCTTCTCTTGCCCCTTTGGCTGTCTCTTTTTTAGGTTTTTCCCAATTCCTCCTCTTCTCCTTTCCTTTGATGTGATGTTCCTTGTTTTTTTTTTTTTTTTCTTTTGGCTCTTTTTTTTTTTTTCACTCCATGTGCTTGTCCCTGGTGTTGACCTTATGTTTCATGCCTTCAATAATGAATCTTAAAACTGGGATTCTAGGTCTAGCTTCTCTCTTGAGCTCTAACTTCCTCCTGTAAATTTCCACTTGAGTGCATCCCACTCCATTTGGATGTTCCCTAAATACTTCTTTTTCCCAAAACAGTGTCTTCTCAGTGTTAGTTAAGGTCACTTCTATATATCCAACTATCCAACCAAATATCTCAGAGCATCTTTGCCTCTTCTTCCCCCAGTTTCATATAATCAGTGTTGACCAAACCCAGTAGTTCCTACTTCTAAACTGCCTCCTCTAAGTTCATTTTTCTTCCATTGAAATAACCCTAGAATAGGCCTTTATAATCACAGCATCAACTCACAATGGTTTCCTAATTGCTTTTTCTGCTTATCTTCTCATCCTTACCTAGTGTCCTCTTACTATAACATGCATATATGGTTTTAAAATGCATATCTATTTATTTCATTCCTCTTCTTAAAATCTCTTCATAATTTTCAGTGTATTTGAGAATAAAATGAGATCTCAACAAGGAATTCAAGGACTTTCTTGTCCCAAGCCTACATTATTAGCCTCATCTCTTGCCATTTGTCAGACCCTGTTGCCTGACTATTTTGTGTACTTTTCTTCCTCTATGTCTTTCTCTCATCTTCCTTCCTTCATCTGGCAAAACTTCAATAACCCTATAAGATATAGCAAAGTCATTTCTAAATTTCTCAGAAATAATGAATTAAATACACCTGGTTTGTGCTCCCAAAGTCATTTACTCATATAAAAAGTTTTACTGTACTGTATTATGTTTTATGGTATGTAGCTTTTTCTTTTGCTAGATTGTGAGAAGCTCAAGAATAGAAGAAGTATCATTCATTTTTTTCCTCTCCAGTACTATATATGTTTTTGACATGTACACACACACACACACACACACACACACACACTACAGCACTTTTTCCAACGTGGTGATGTTTTTCTTCCATGTGAATCTTCTCTAGTCTCTTGCCTTTGAAGCCCTCAGGCATGTTATAAAATATAATTAGACTCAAATGATTATGATTATATATTAACTCTCAAGGCATGCCTATATATTCTTATAGCATATATCTAAAACATATGTGTCTGTAATATGTTAGGTAAATTGTATTTATTTTTCAAAATGTTTTATTCTTATAAGCTGCTAGCTCTTCAAGAAGAATAGTTTCTATAAAAGTCAAATTGGGGAGAGTTTGTAATCAGAGAATAAGGTTGCACTTGATTCTAGCTAAAGAAAAAAGGAATGATTAAGGGAGTTATTACAAATAATGCAAAACAAAAATAAGTAGCAAATGTACAAGGACATCTGAAAAGAGCAAAGCATACAGAAACACTCTAGAACCAAAAATATCCTTGGATATCATTGACACATTCATGACTGATTGCTGTGGAAGACCCCCCAAGCTGAAGGTTTACAATCAAGGGCTTATGACTCCAGTCTAAGAATTTAGGATGACCTCCCAAAGGTAGAGCAAGGTACCCGTGGAATAATACTGCATTATTTGACAGGTGATTAATGGGAAGTTGCTCAAAGATACAATATTTAAAATGTCTGAAGAAACCACAATTCATTTTTTAATAAAAACTGTTCATGTTCTTTTGAAATATGTTTTACCATGCATGTTTCAGGTGGAAAAAGGAGGGTCTGTCTTTTTGGATAACAAAGCAAAAATAGAAGCTGGTTTGTAAGGAGACAAGGTTCTTCTTTGAGAGTTGGTAGTGGGGGTGGAACAGTTAAGTCTAATTGGATCTTACAGCACAGCTGAGTTTCAAAGGGGAAGGGGTTAGAGAAAGAGAAGACTCACATTGGAGGAAAAACTTTCTCCTGTTGGAATGGCCAATCTGTCTGGGCCACCAAGACTGTTTTCCTCCCATGTGCTTCTGTTGGGTGGACTTCTTGTGGCACAAAGATGCATAGAGCTAAAAGGTGCTTCTGGTCATGTAAGGAATAATGGAAACAGTGAGCAGGAGTCTCTTTGAGAGCACCTGGGGATTCTAGTACAGCAACCTAGCATGCTGTTTCTGGAAAGTGGTATGTAGGCAGTTTAAAGCCGTCACCGTAAAACACTGAGACATCACGTATAAACCTGCTCTAAATCCTTGGAGGACTGGAGCTATGTGTATTTTAAAGCTGTATAAGACTTCTAATATTAAGATAAAGATCAGAGAAACCATTTCTACATAGGTTTGGGAAATGGAAGCAGGGTTTAATCATGCAATAGCTCACAGCAGTTGAAAATTAACAAGAAAGCTAACAGACATAAACTAGGTGTTAGTATTGCTTAAAATATGGCTCTGGCTCAATCTGATTCACTATATTTATAAAAAATAACAATATTTTAAGTGGAAAGTATTATTTTAGCAAACATTTAATTTTTATCAAATGTTCAAATGCATAAAGTTATTTGAGCAGCACTATGGTTTGTCCCCTCTGAAACTCATGTTGAAATTTGGCCCCCAAAATAACAGTGTTGAGAGGTGTTGGGGCCTTTAAGAGGTGATGAGGTTGTTAAGAGGGATTAATGCTTTTCTCACTGGAGTGGGTTAAATCTCATGGGACGGGATAAGTTACCACAAGGGCGTATTGTTACACAGTGAGGTAGCCCCTCCTGTTTTGTCCCTTCTGTACGTTCCTGCTTGCACTTCTGTTTTCTGCTGGTTAAAGATGCATGGAGTCTTACGGTGTCATGCCCTTGGGCTTCCAAGCCTCCAGAACCATGGGTCTAAGCAAACCTCTCATTTATAAATTACTCATTCTCATATATTTTGTTACAGCTCCAGAAAATGAACTGAGACAGGCAGGATCATTCTAGCGTCACACCACCAATACCCGATGACAGCTATATAAAGCAGAGTTTGGAAACTTAGGAAGAAAAAGAGTCTTTGAAGGTCTGGCCCTATCACCTGAAGCCTATAATGCAATGGAAAGTGTCACAGAATCACTGAAAACTCGTGACTCAAAGTGTTTGGGTGCACAAGCAGAAAATCTAGCCTAAAGCTCAGGAGAATTTCAAGCCTAATGGTGTGGACTATGTGATTCACACACACACCTGCTTAGCTGGTAATATTCAGCCCTGGCCTGCTTTTTGAGGAATGAACACTATGTAGAAGTAATAGCACATGCACGCACATACACAAACACTGTAGCAATGTTGAATTATTTTCTTTGATTAAATTTTAATTGATTAAAAACTCCATAAAATCTATTTCTGCAGATTTTCCCTGAAACCTCAAATATCTCCCAGTCCAGAGTTGTTTTATCCTGCTCACACCTTGTGAGGATCTACTATAAAAGTTAGATTCTTTTCTCTTGCTCAGGTCTCACTCACACCCTTCACTTAGCCTCAGCAGTCCTTGACCTCAGACCCATTGCTTATGCTGTTTTTCTCTGTAGCATGCCCTACTCT